GTGACCCCTCCTTGGGTTTCCGAGGCAGTATCACTACAGAAGTAGATTGCCCAATCTTCCTTCCGAGGAGTGGCTGGTGGGTTTGAACCACCAGCTTTCTGGTCAACAGTCAGATGCCTTAGGCACTATGCCACCAGACCTCCTTTTTTTGTTTGTTTTTTGTTTTTTGTTTTGATGCACAACAGAACAGAATGCTGTCTAGTCCTGCACCACCCGCGTGATCAGTTGCAGATTGGACCCATAGGGTTTTCACTGGGCAGTTTTTCAGAAGAAAAAGGCCTGGCCTTTCTTCCAAGTCTGTAAACTCCACTGACATGAGTGGTGGCTGCGCATGAGGTGTGTGACCGGGCATCCAAACCCAGGTCCCCTGCATGGAGGAGTAGAGTTCTACCACTGACTCACCTCTGCCCCCTTGCAGGGCGTGGCCAAAAACCCAAACCAAACACACTGCCATAGAGTCTGTTCCGACTCATAGCAACCCCCATTGGGTTTCCAAGGCTGTAAATCTTTACAGAAGCAGGTTGTCTCATCTTTCTTTCACAGAACTGGTGGGTTCAAACCAGCAACCTTTGTTTAGCAGCTAAATGCCTTGAGCGTTATGCTACCTGAGCTCCTTTGCAGCGTGCTGAGGGCCCAGTAAATACCATTCATGGTGTCTTCAATCTGTGTGTGTGTGTTGGTTACCCAGTGTTCTCATCGGGCACCTGTGATTTCAATAACTGGCAAGGTCAGCTCCCCACTAGGGCTTCACCTGAGTTTTAAAAATCCCCTACAGTTCCTAAAAAAAGTTAAACATAGGATTACCGTATAACCCAGCAATCCCACTCCTAGGTATCTTCCCAAAAGAATTAAAAACAGGCATCTAAACAAAAAGTTGTCCACAAAGGTGACTGGCAGACCTAGTCACAGTAGCCAAAGGGTAGACACAACACAAGTGTCCATCACTGGATGATGGATAAACTCAATGTGGTCCATCCAGAAAATGGAATATTGTTCAGCAGTAAAAAGGAATGAAGTACTGATACATGTTACAACGTGGATGAAACCTCAAAAATAATGTGCCACGTGAAATAAGCCAGTCACAAAAGGTCGCATATTGTATGATCCCACTTATGTGAAATACGTAGACTAGGCAAATGTAAAGTGACAGAAAGCAGATTAGTGGTTGCCTAAGGCTTGGGGCTGACTCAGCAGCAGCTAACAACAGTGGGACAGTGGGGCTTAGGAGAGGGGCTGACTTTAATGAGTGTGGGGTTTGCGTTTGGGGTGATGAGACATTCTGGACGAGCTAGAGGTGATGGTTGCACATGGTGAATGTACTAAATACCACTGAATCGTGCCCTTTAAAATGGTTACTTTTATCTTACATGACGTTCACCTCCATCAGTTTAAAACAAAGGCTCCCTTGGTCAGTCAGCATGCTAGCTGCCTGGGTCTCCTCCGCAGCTTGCCTGGGTGGACTATGCAAAGGGATTTGGGGTGGGGGCTGTGCAGCTGACCATCTGCACCCACCCGCCCCACTCCGGCCAGGTGTTTCTGAAGGAGCTAGAGAGACAGGCCCTGCAGGAGACACTGCACCGGGAGGTCATGCGTAAGATCCTGCTGCTACAGAGCTGGTTCCGGATGGTTCTGGAACGCCGGCATTTCCTGCAGATGAAGCGGGCAGCCATCACCATCCAGGTACCATAGGACGCCCCCAGTATGGGGGGGACATCCAGGGTCACCGACACCCAGCCCTGACCACACATCCTACCCTGTCAGGCTTGCTGGCGTTCCTACCGGGTCCGGCGAGCACTGGAGAGGACACAGGCAGCCGTATTCCTTCAGGCTGCATGGAGGGGCTATCGGCAGCGGACAGCCTACCAGCGCCGGAGACAAAGCATCATTCGCCTACAGAGCCTCTGCCGGGGCCACCTGCAGCGCAAGAGGTGAGCAGAAGATTCTGGAACATTCTGGAATGTTCCAGAAGCTGAGACCAGAGAATTTCCTGAAATACTAGGAGGCCATCCTGGAGGCTAGGTGGACTGATGGGGCCAGAGGACATCAGGTGGCAGGAACTAGGAAGCCTCAGGTTGGCCAGGGACCTCCTGCACCCCGTCCATCCTGGGCCAGTCAACAGAACACCTTGATTCAAGGTTGAGGGAAGGAGTGCTCAGATTCCCCACATACACACACACACACACACAGAACCCTAGGCATTTGCCGTGTTCAGACACCCTACCAGGTGGACAGCGGGGCTCCTACTGCTGTGCAGGCATCCATAGGCTCTGAGACCAACCCTCCTCCCCAGCCTGCTCCCCTCCTGACCACCCAGTGACCCCTGACCTCGCAGCCTCTGCCAACATGCAGACTCAGGACTCTGCCACAAAGCGAGGTACCAGCTCTGGCACTGACCACACACACAAAGACCCTCTCAGAGGGTTCACCAAGGATATAGACCCAGACAACCAGCCTCTGAAGTAATACCAGGGGTCTACCTACAGGACCCCACTCCAGAGCCGCACTAACGAGCATCCCTCCCCCAGAACAATGAGCCAGGCCAGGCCCAGAGCAGCAGCAAGGGGCACTGCAGTGCTCTGTCCTGGTCAAGGTCACCTTCCAGTTTCCCTCTGACCTTGCTGACCAGCGCCCAGACAAGTCTTGGAGATGGGTAGATACTGGTGTCTGAGTCAGGGCCTTCTCTTTCCCTCTCCCCCACAGCTTCAGCCAGATGGTCTCGGAGAAGCGGAAGGCAGAAGAGAAGGAGAGGGAGGCACAGTTAGCCGCAAGGGAAACCACTGTGGAGACCAGCGGGGAGCAGGAGCTCGGGCAGACGGTGTCTGAGGACCATGAGCCCCCAGCTGTGTTGGAGCCTGAGCCACAGCCAAGCGACAGGCCCCCTGCAGCAAGCTCCCACCCAGAGGCAGAGACCCCAATTCTGGAGAAGCCCACCCCTTCCCAGAAACCGCCAGCCGAAAGTCACGAGAAAGCCCCCAGCAGCCGCGAGAAGCGTGAGTCCCGACGGCAGAGGGGCCTGGAGCATGTGAAATTCCAGAACAAGCACATCCAGTCCCATAAGGAGGAGAGTGCCCTTCGAGAAGCTTCTGGAAGGGCAGGCCCAGAACAGAGGGAGAACCTTCCAGAAGATCAGACGGAAAGCAGGGAAGAGGGCATCCCCTCAGACACAGGACTGGAGGCTGAGCGCATGTCCCCCACAAAGCCATCCCTGGAGGTGTCACAGGCTGTGGCAGCCAGCGAGACTCCCAGGGATGCCCAAGAGGGCAGCCCAAGGCCCAGCCGCATAGAGCGACCCACCAGCCTGGCCCTGAACGACAGAACCAGTACCCCAGAGACTCCCAAGGACAGGAGCAGGCCAGGCACCAGCCCCCGGGACCGGCCTGAGAGCCCCGGCAGCTCGGCCCAGATCCAGCGGTACCGCGACACCGATTCAGAGCGCCTGGCCAATGCCGTGGAGCTGTGGCGCGGCAGGAACCTCATGACCGCCAAGCCCTGTGCCGTGCTCAGCCAGTCGCTGGACCTCAGCGAACGGCACCGGACTGCCCTCACGCCTACAGAGTAAGCCCGGCACCTGCCTGTGTCTGTGCCCTGGGGACTGTTGGTCAGGGTAAGGAGCAGCAGGGGGCCTGAAAACTCTCAAGCAGCTCCACACTCAAGAGGTATACCAGGTATATGGGTGCCCCAAGGAAGAGGGAGTGGGAAGGGGCAGGTGAGAGGCTGAGAGAAGATAAGGCCCAGCCCAGGACGCTGAGCCCTATGGAAATGGCATACTGTGGTCTCACAGGAAGCCCCCAGCCCAGCAGGAAGCAGCCCTTCAGGGTGAGGCCCTAAGTCCCCAGACTCAGAGCCCTCTGTCTAGGCCTCAGTTTCCTCATCAGTGAACCAGTTGCCAAAGTGCAGTGAGTCCATGTGGGTCAGAGTAGAACTGCTCCAGAGGGTTTTTAATGGCTGATATTTAAAACTGGTGGCATAGTGCCTAAGGCACTTGACTGCTAACCAGAAGGCTGGCGGTTCAAACCCACTAGCAACTCCTCAGAAGGAAGATTGGGCAATCTACTTCCATAGTGATACCACCTCAGAAACCCAAGGAAGGGTCGCTGTGAGTCAGATCCAACTCAATGGCAGTGTGTTTGGGTTTTGGATGTTAAAAAAAAAAAAAAACTAGGTTACCAGGCCTTTCTTCCAAGGCATCTATGGGTGGACTTGAAACTCCAACCTCTCAGTTAGCAGCTGAGTGCGTTCACCATTTGCACCTCCCAGGGACTCCCCCAACCAGTGAATGGGGGTTCATTGTGCTTAGAGGGGCACAGCTCTCAACAGGCTATGTCTTGACACATACTAAGTGAAGTACCACAGAGTCTAAGTCTCCAGCCCCGTGTCCCAGAGTGGCTGGTTGAGCCGGGAAAAGAACAGTTGGAGGAACCACGTGGGCCTTCCAGGGAGACGGGCTTTCCCCACCTGGGAACTGCTGGCATTTAGTTCCAGATCATTCTCTGGCCTGAGGGCCATCCTCTGTACTGTAGAGCTACGAGCAGCTTCCCTGGCCTCCAACCCCCTGATGTCTGTAGCACTCAGCCCTAATCCTGTCTACCACAAATGTCTCCAGACATTGCCGAGTGTCCCCGGGGGTCAGAATTGCCCTCGGTAGATGACGCCCCTGGGTTAGGGGATTTCACTGACCCCTAGAAGAATCAGTTCCATTATCATCTGACCTCCTCAAGTCTTAAGGTGCTGTATACATTTAAACCCACCACTGAGTGGGAAGAAGAGATCACAGAAGCTGGAAGATCCCCCTGGTTTATACCATCTAACCCATCAGGAAATTACTCCATTGCACAGTGCGAGGTAACGGTCGAAATCAAATTTGTTTCCAAATCAATGATACAGAAGTTCTCCACCTCAGCACTATTAACATTTGATTCCAGAACATTCTCTATGGTATGGGCTGTCCTGTGTACTGTAGGGTACTGAACAGCATCCCTGGCTTCTACCCACTCAATGCCAGTAGCAACCCCTAATCATGACACTAAAAATACCCCCAGACACTACCAGCGTCCTCTGGGAGCAGAATCCGGGTGACACCTGTAACCCTAGGCCTTGCTTCTACAAACATAAGCCCATTTCTGTGGCCTTGCAGGGAGAGGCGGATTTCCTTATCCACAAGTGACGTCTCCAGCCTCCTGTCTCCCACCAAGACCCAGGTATGTTCAACAGTGACCACATCCCCTCCCGGACTGCACAGCCCTTCACGGAGGGACGTTTGGTGGCCATGGAGGGTGCACAGCAGGATCTAGCACTCCCTCTGCTGACCTACCCATCCCCTTGCAGTCCTTCGTCGAAACCATGGATGGGGAGCCCAGCTCCAAGAAGCTGTCGATCCAGAAGAAAAAATCGGGTGACTCAGCCTCCGTCACAGACGCAGGGCTGTCCCCGGGCCAGCAGGCCGATTCCAAGTGAGTGTGGGAGGCAGCGGGAAGGTGAGGGTGGCCAGGGTCGCTCCAGGCCTCACGCAGGATGACAGCCTGATCCCCCGCATCACTTGCGTGGACTGAATATAATTGGGCAGTTGTCTTCTCTACACGTCCCCACAGTGGCTTGTGACCACCTGCCAGTGCCTGGACTGGCTAGAGCGGCATGGCCAAATCCAGTGAAATGACTACAGCCGAGACCTAGTTCCAGCTGAGGCCACCTCCTCTGGGCCCACAGACAACCAAAAGCAAAGCCACTGCTGTCAGGTCACCTCCGACCCACAGTCACCCCATGAGTATCAGGAGAGAACTGTGCTCCATGTGGTTTCCAGTGATGATCTTCCAGTAGATCACCAGGCTTCTCTTTCAAGGTGCCTCTGGGTGGATTTGAACCACCACCCTTTCAGTTAGTACCCAAGCACTTAATAATTCACACAACCCAGGAACTGCCAATAGGTATCCAAAAAACCCATAGCCATCAAGTCGATTCTGACTCATAGCAACCCCCATTGGGTTTCCAAGGCTGCAAACTTTAGCAGGAGATTTCCCTGTCTTTCTCCTGTAGAGTAGCTGGTAAGTTTGAACCACCAACCTTCTGATTAGCAGCCAAATGCCTTACCCACTACACCACCAGAGCTCCTTACCAATAGGTGTACCAAACCAAGTATCAAACTTGTGGCCACTGAGTCGATTCCGACCCATTGCAACCCAGCAGGACAGAGTAGAACTGCCCTGTGGGGTGTCCAAGGCTTTAATGTTTACAGAAGCAGACTGCCACATCTTTCTACCACAGAGTGGCAACCTTTCTGTTGAGGGCTTAACCAGTATACCACCAGGACTCCAGACCAATAGGTACAAAACCAAACCCACTGCCGTTGAGTCAATTTCCTTATCCACAAGTGACGTCTCCAGCCTCCTGTCTCCCACCAAGACCCAGGTATGTTCAAACATTGCAATCCTATAGGCAACAAGTTTGGTTTTGTACCAATAGCTGTGTTGTTGTTAGGTGCCGTTGAGTCAGCTCTGACTCATAGTGAACCCTGTGTGCAACAGAACAAAACACTGCCCTCTCCTCCACATCCTCACTATCTTTCTTGTGCTTAAGCCCATCATTGCAGCCACTGTTGACACACTGTTGACACAGTCTCTCATTGAATGTCTTCCCTTTTTTCACTGACCCTCTACTTTACCAAACATGGTATCATTCTCCAGGGACTGGAGCCTCCTGACAACATGACCAAAGCAAAGTCTAGCCATTCTCCCTTCTAAGGAGCATTGTGGCTATATATCTCTTCCAAAATGGATTTGTTCATTCTTGTGGCAGTCTGTGGTATTTTCAGTATTCTTCGCCTACACTACGATTCAAATGTATCAATTCTTCTACAGTCTTCCTTATTGATAATCCAGCTTCTTATGAGACTATTGAAAATACTATGGTGTGGGTCAGACGCACCTTTGTCTTCAAAGTCACCTCTTCGCTCTTTAACACTTTAAAGAGGTCTTTTGCAGCAGACTTATCCAGTACGACACGCTGTCTTATATCTTGACTGGTGTGTCTTTGGGTATAGACTGTGGATCCGAGTAAAATGGAATCCCAGATGACTTCAATCTCTTTTTCATTCATCGTGATGTTGCTTGTTGGTCCAGTTGTGAGCATTTCTGTTTTCTTTATGTTGAGGTGTAATCTAATAGGCTGCAGCCTTTAATCTTCATCAGTAAGTGCTTCCGGTTGTCTTCACTTTGAGCAAGCAAGGTTGTGTCTTCCGCATATGGCAGGTTGTTAATGAGTCTTCTTTTGATCCTGATGCCATGTTCTTCTTCATATAGTCTGCTTCTTGGATTATTTCCTCAGCATAGAAATTGAATAAATATGGTGAAAGCATACAACCCTGGTGCACTCCCTTCTTGGTTTCAAACTGAATAGTATCCCATTGTTCTGTTCAGACAATAGGCTCTTGATCTATGTGCAGGTTCCTCATGAGCATAATTAATTGTTCTGGAATTCCCATTCTTTGCCATCTTGTCCATTATTTGTTATGATCCACATAGTCACATGCCTTTGCATAGGTCAGTAAAACACAGGTAAGTATCATTCTGGTATTCTGACATCTGAATGGATGTCAGAAGAGACTCTGAAGCTTGCTCTTCAATGTAAAGTAGCTAAAATGAATGGAATAAATGATGAAAGAAAAGAGCTTAAAAGATTTCAAAAGACAGCTCAAGAAGACAAAGTATCATAATGAAATGTACAAAGACTTTGGAGTTAGAAAACCAATAGAGAAGAAAACACTCAGACATTTCTCTGCTGAAAGAACTGAAGAAGAAATCAAAGCCTTAAGTTGCAATATTAAAGAATTCTGTGGGCAAAATACTGAATGATGCAGGAAGCATCAAAAGAAGATGGAAGGAATTCACAGAGTCATTGTAGCAAAAAGAAATTGTTGACATTCAGCCATTACAGGAGATAGCATATAATCAAGAACCACTGGTATTGAAGGAAGAAGTCCAAGCTGTACTAAAGGAATTGGCAAAAAACAAGGCTCCAGGAATTGACGAAAGACCCATTGCGACGTATCAACAAATGGATGCAGCATTGGAGGCACTTACTTGTTCATGCCAAGAGATTTGGAAGACAGCTACCTGGCCAGCTGACTGGAAGAGATCGATATATGTGCCCATCCCAAAGAAAGGTGATCCCACACAATGTGGAAATTATCTAACCATATCACTAATAGCACATGTAAGTAAAATTTTACTGAAGATAATTCAAAAATGGTTGCTGGGGTATGTTGACAGAGAAGTGCCAGAAATTTAAGCCAGATTCAGATGAGGGCATGGAACCAGGAGGTACAGGGATGGTTAATTTTTATCTCACATTTCCACTGTGAGTGATTGAAAACAATTATCCTCAAGTCAGCCTCAACTCCTGGGGACCTCATGTGCATCAGAGTAGAATTGTGCTCGCAGGGTTTTCAATGGCTGGTTTTTCAGAAGTTGACCCCTCTGGGTGGACTTGAACCTCTAGCCTTTCAGTTAGCAGTGAGCACATTCACCATTGCGGGCCCCAGACAGATGGAGTCTATTTAGCTCTTCCTGGAATTAAAACCAGCTCCACACTTACACCCCTGGAGACTCCCCCTGGGCCCTCAGATAGAAATGCTGGGTGGAGGCTTTGTCCCCTTGAAGCCCCTGTGAAAACGTTCCATATGGTTCCATCATAGAACAGAGAATGGCACACAGGACTAATGAGCTCTGATTGAGAACCACCAGTGGGGATGTAATATGGAAGGCAGTGAATGGAGCTCCTTACCACGGAGAGCCTCAGTCTTCTGGTCCCAGGGATAGCAAGCTGGCAGGGATGGTGTTCTGGTTACTTGGTGTGGCTCTGACAGGAGTATACCACAAATGGATGGCTTTCACAAACAGGAGTTTGTTTTCTTATAGTTTTGGAGGCTAGAAGTCTGAGTTCAAAGTGCCAGGCTCTTGGGGCTGGGTAAAAGCCTCCCAGCCTTGAGCTTCAGCTCTGCCGCCTGCTCCTAGCCCACTAAAGGGGGAGGCTTTTCTTCATTCAGACAGCTGCTGGCTGCTGAGGCTGACAAACCCAAGGTCAACAAGTAAAAAGGCATAGTCCTAATATTAACAAACAACATGACAGGCCACTAGTTCAAGTCCAGCAAAAGTCCCAAGATGGGCAGGGCATGGCAGGCTGCTGAACGACTTGGCTACATGCAGGGTTCAGGCGTGCCAAAAAGCTGGAGACCTGCCTGAAAGTTGCTTCTTTTATGCTTCAAGCAGCCCTCATCCCTAAAGCAGCCACTCAGCTGCTCTGGTAGATTCCACCATGAAGTTGATTACCAATCTCACCATGAGGAATAACTACATCCAGCCACTCAACCAGGCCCAGCCAAATTGACACATAACCTTTACTACCACAGACGGAGATGACGAGGGAAGGGCTTCAGCCTGCAGGAAAATGTTGGTCAACCTCACTAAGGACTTGAAAGTTGGCAACACATAGAAGGGACTCAGGCCCTCTTCAGGTCATGCCTGGGGACAGGGCTAGAAACTCTGGGGTGAGGAGAGATGCTGCTCCTGGGGCAGTCACAGGAAGGGTGGTCACACGAGGCCAGCACTCAAGTAGCTATGATGGCAGTGCCCAGGTGGCGCCATCCACCCTGCAGGCGGCCTCCTTACCCCAGGCTCACAGGGAGCCGGCTGCCTCCCAGATGGGGAAACTGACACACAGGGCACCCCCATCTCCTCCTCAGAGTAGTCATTACCTGCCATGAGATGAGTCCATCCTCATTGGGAGAGCTATTCCTAGCCATGGCCCTGGCCACCACCACCTCCCACCAGATTGGCCCCACCCCTGCCCCACTGCAGGCAGTTGGACCCCCCCCCCCAGAAGCAGTGCTGGGGTCGGGATGCTCAGCACCTGCTTGCAATGTAGCTGAGTGTCTGCACAAGCCTTACCCTGGGCTCCCCTTCCTCTTCTAATCACAGAAATGACACCAGTTCACTGAGGGAAATTAGACATGAGGACTGTGTGCCAGGAAAGTAAGGGTCGCTGCCGTCTCTCCCCAGTCCCCTTGTGAGTGTCCTGGGACTACCAAACAAGTGACCATAAAGTGGGTGGCCGAGAACAGTGGGCATTCATCCTCTCACAGCCCTGGAGGCCAGGAGTCTGGGATCAGGTGTCGGCGTGCCACACTCCTCCAGGCTCCAGAGGAGAGGCTCCTTCCTCGTCTCCGCAGCTTCTGATGGCCCCAGCTACCCCTGGGCCCGTGGCTGCCTCACTCCAGTCTCCCTCCATCACCATGTGACCTTCACCCCTGTGTATCTCTGTGTCTTCTCATCTTATGAGGACATTGGTCATTGGAGTTAAGGTACCAGATAATCCAGAGTGATCTCATCTGAGAGTCTCAACAAATAACATCTACAAAGACCCTTTTACCAAACGTTCTATGGCAGCCGTAGCAAAAAAAAAAAAAAAAACGCACAACTGGGTGTGCATTTAAAGACAGAAATTGATCTCACGATTTTAGAGTCTGAAACTCTAGGTCAGGCTCTCGGCCGGGTCAGTTCCTTCTGTGGGCCTCTCTCAGCTTCTGGTGTCCCCAGCAGTCTTCAGTGTTCCTTCGATTATAGACAGTCTTTGCTTGGCATCTGGTGTGTGTGTGTGTGTCCCTTTTCCTAAGATGTCGCTCAGAAGGGACTAGGTTTAAGACCCACCCTAGTTCTTTATGACCTTGTTAACATTAAAAAAAAAAAAACATGTTTCCGAGCAAGGGTACATTCACGAGTACAAGGATAAAGACTTTGATCTATCTTTTTTAAGGGACACAGTTTAATCCATAACACCAAATAAGGTCACATTCACAGGTTTTGGGGGCTAGGACATAGATCTATCATGGGGGTGGGAATCATTCTTTCCCAAAAATATGTTCAAAGAAAGCAAGTGTCCTAAGGAACATTCTGTGGTATTTCTTCTAAAACAGATTTTTCAGTCTTCTAGCAGTCCATAGCATATTCAATACTCTGTGTTTTTTAAGATAACTTTTTTTATGATTTTGCTGAAAGTTTACACAGCAGATTTATGTTCTCATTTGACATTAGTGACATTAGTTAAATTTTTCACAACATGTCAGCATTCTCTTTAATTGCCTTCTGGTGGTTCCGTTTCCTGCACTCTAGTTCCCCTGACCCCTTGTCTTCTCATCTTTGCTGTAGAGCAGTTGTTCACCTTTTGGTCTCCTCTATAGCTGGCTTTTTAGTGGAGCACCATACCCATGAGTAACATTCTTTATTTCGTGGGCCAATCTGTTATTCCTCTAAAAGGTGACCTCAGGTTTAAAGAGTATCTCAGAGTGACAGTCTCATGGAGTCTTATAGTCCCCACTGGTCCAGTAAGTCTGGACTTTTTAAGAATTTCAGTTCTGTTTCACATTTTTCTCCCATTATGTCAGGGTCCATCCACTGTGGCCGTGATCAGAACGGTCAGCAGTGGTAGCCGGGCACCATCTAGTTTTTCTGGTGTCAGGGTAGATGAGGCCATGGCTCCTGTAGGCTGTTAGCCCTCTGGACCAGTTTTTTCTCTGGGGCTCTGGTTTCCTTTATATTCAGTCTTCTTGGCCAACATCATAATGCATCAAATCTTCTGCCTTCCCTTTTCATCATCCATTCTCGCTGTGTATAAACATGTGAGGGAGCAGGGGATAGTGCTATTATTTTTATATGAAAATAAGGTGAAACTCTAACTTCCATTAAGATTTAGCATTTTGCTTTTTCAGGTAACTCACATCAGTTCTTACAGATCCACCTTATTTTTAGCAGCATTCCATCCCATCGATAGTAAAGACAAGACTCATTCTGTCGTTAGTAAGGCAGCCCTTTCTGCTCTTTAGGAGAACATTCCAAGGGGCCCTGAGGTGCAGTGGTTAAGCACTTGGCTGCTAACCAAAACATCAGCAGTTCAAACCCACCAGCCACTGTGCAGGAGAAAAAATAAAGCAGTCTGCCTTCATAAAGATTTACAGCCTTGGAAATCCTGTGGGCAGTTCTACTCTGTCCTACAGGGTTGCTATGAGTTTGAATCTGTTCAACAGCAATGAGTTTGGGTTTGTTTGTTTCGTATGAAGCATCCACTTGGGCAGTGGTGGTTAAGTGGCAGAATTCTCTCCTTCCGTGTGGGAAACCTGGCTTCGATTCCCGGCCACCGCACCTCACGCCCACCCACCACCCTCCACCTCTGGGGGCTTGTGTGTTGCTGTGATGCTGAGCAGGTTTCAGTGGAGCTTCCAGACTAACACGAACAAGGAAGGAAGGCCTGGCCGTCTGCTTCCCAAAGCCCTGAGGATCCCAGCAGTCCAGTCTGTAATGGCTCGTGGGCATGGCGCAGAACCAGGCAGCACTTCATTCCACTGTGCACGCGGTCGCCATGAGTCAGAGCCAACTCGACAGCCACTCAGAACCACCACAGATCACGCATCCAAGCTGCCCTGCTCAGAGGAAGGTCCGACTTCATGTCCACTTCCATTTCCTGAGGCATAAGAGGGACCGCTCACCTTCTTCTGCAGGTCTGCATTCAAGAGGCTCTTCCTGCATAAGAACAAGGATAAGAAGTACAGCCTAGAGGGCGTGGAGGAGGCGGAGAATGCAGGATCTGGGCACGCTGGGCTGGAAGCTACAACCACCAAGAAGAATCTAGAAGGTCAGGCCCCGTAGCCTCCGGGCCCTAGGGTTAGAGCCTCCAGGGACCCTGAGGACATTGACCAGGAACTGTAGCCCGCATTCAAGGGCACAGAGTGCTCCTGGTTGAGGTCCTGGTTCTGGGCAGTCAATAGACACTCTGCACTCTGCACTCTGCACTCCGCACCCACCTCACTTGCTGTCCTCCCCTCCCACAGCCCCCTCCAGCCACCAGCAGCGCCACTCAGCAGGAGAGAAGCCCAGCAAGGAGCCAGGAGGCAAAGGGAAGAAGAACCGGAACCTCAAGATTGGTAAAATCACGGTATCAGAGAAGTGGCGAGAGTCAGTGTTCCGCAAGATCACCAACGCGAACGAGCTCAAGTACCTGGACGACTTCCTGCTCAACAAGGTGGGCCCGGTGGGGGTGGGGGTGGGGGTGGACAACAGACCCCAAGCCAGGCTCTCCATCAGCCCTACTGCATCGAGCATAGAAAATGCAGGTCCAAATTCCAATACACAGAAGGTTCCAAAAGCCAAGCGTTTGTTCTTAAGTTTGGCACGATTTGTTTTGGCAACCCTGGGTGATGCAATGCACTCAAATGCTGACCAAAAGGTTGGCAGTTCTAGCCCACCTAAAAGTACCTCAGAAGAAAGGCCTGGCAATCTGCTTATGAAACATCAGCCATTGAAAACCCTCTGAAGCACAGCTCTTGGGTGCACATGGGGTAGACATGAGTCTGAGTCAACTCAAAAGCACCTGGTTTAGTGTTTTGGCAAAACCTGATCTGGGCTCATGGGAGAGAGTTTGTCGTTCACCTTTCTCTCAGTATGAGTTTTCATGTTTATCTGCAAACTGTCACTGAGCGTTAGTCTCAGTTACCTACAGCTGCTGTAACACAAATACCCATATAGACATTTATCATCTCACAGTTCTGGAGGCTGGAAGTTGGAATTCTGGGCATCACCAGCAGCATGCCTTCTCTCTCAGCTCGAAGGAAAGAGTCTGCCTTTTCTTTTCCAGCTTCTGTAGCCCCAGGCCTTCTATGACCTTACAGCCTCCCGTGATGTCTTCCCCTTGTGTGACTCTGTTTCTGTGACAGTTCTCCCTTTTTATAAGATACCACTTCGAAGGGATTGGGTTTATTTCCAAACGAGTTCATGTTCACAGGTACACAGGGTTAGGACTTGATTTTTGTTTTGTTTTGTTTTGTTTTCATTTTTATTGTGATTTGGGTGAAAGTTTACAGACCAAATTCAATTTCCACACAGCAGTTCATCCGCATTTTGTCTCATGACATTGACTGCAATTCCACATAACGTAAAAACTCTCTTCCCACTTCTTCCCCATAGTTATCTCTTCCCTGTGTCCTTCCCTCCCATGCATTTTTTTTTTTCAATTTTCATTGTGATTTGGGTGAAAGTTTACAGAGCAAATTCAATTTCCATACAGCAGCTCACATATACCTTGTCTCATGACATTGACCACAATTTTACACAATGCAGTAGCTCCCATCCCACTTCCTCCCCATAGTTAACCCTTCCCTGTGTCCTTCCCTCCCGTGCACACCTGCCCTCCTAGCTGTCTCCCCATGCATACACAGCCCCTCTATTCTCCCATGATTGATCACTCCAAGGAGTGTATCTACCTAATGTAAATGTTAACTCATATGCCTGTCTTTTTTTGGCTGGAAGCCACAGGAGTGGAGTCAATTCCAGACCCAAAGGGCAGCTAGGGGCCACAATCTCAGGGGTTTCACCAGGGTCTATCAGACCAGCAACCCTGGTGTCCCCCCCCCCCCATTTTTTTTTATTTTTTTTTTAAATGATTTGAGTTCTGTTCCACATTGTTCTCCCACTATCCAGGATCTCCTACACAGATCCCCCTCCAAGTGGTTGGCAGTGGTAACTGGGCACCACCTAGTTCTTCCAGTCTCATAGTCGTATAGGCTGAGGATCACGTGGTCTACCAGCCTCTTGGACTAATTGTTTCCATGCATCTTTGGTTTCCTTCATCCTTCTTTGCTCTGGATGAGGAGAGACCCATCGTTGCATCTAGATGGCCGCTTACAAGCTTTTAAGATCCCAGTCACTATTTGCCAAAGTAGGATGTGGAACAATGTTTTTGTGTAGTATGTTATACCAGTTGAGCCTGATGTCCCCTGCAGCCATGGCCCGGAGCCCACAGGTCCAACTACTCGTTCCCTCTGGGTAGCTGGCTATGACCAAGAAGTGTCTACAGCCTTGTCCCTTGTCAGCTCTATTATATACCTAGGAATTCTTATACAAGATACAAATACACTTGTTAGAAACATTGTATGCCAACCCTATATATGGTCTTGGGCCCACTTCTCCCTGCATAGACATACCTGATCATTGAATATATCTTCTTGGGGGACACAGTTAAACCTGTAACAAGCATATCCCATGTAAATAAGCATGGCCAGTACTCGGGGGTGTCCCCCACCCCGTCTGTAGGTAGACACTCAGGATGATTCCTACAAATAGCACAGCACTGGAGAGTCTGCTCAGTGACAAGAGTGTAGGAAGGCCGAGCGGTCCAGGTCCAGGGCCCTGCAGAAAGCAATTGTAGTTATCAGGTGCTCTTGAGTCAGTTCCAACTCATGGCAACGCCTTGTGCAACAGAATGAAATACTGCCCGGTCTTGCGCCACCTTCGCAATTGTTGCTATGTTTGAGCCCGTGAAAAGACCCAGGCTGTTTGATGAAACTCCAGCCTGAGCATGGCTGGGAGATCAGGCACCTCTGTGGGCTGCAGTGAGGACTCGAGTGAAGCCGTGGTTCTCAGCAAGGGCGATTCTGCCCCCAGGGGGTACAATGTCGGGGGGGAAGGGGGGGGAGTTCTGATTGTCAGCAGCTGAGAGTGGGGCATTGCTGCTGACATCCAGTGAGTTGAGACCAGGGATGCTGCTCAGTGCCCTGGACAGCCTCCACCGCACATCGAGCTGGCCCACGATGTCAGTAGTTTTAAACTACTTGCCTTGAGTCGACGCCAGCTCGCAGCAAGCTTGCATGTGTCAGGGGCGTGTGTCAGGGTAGTGTTTTCAATGGCTGATTTTTCAGAAGGAGGTCACCAGTCCTTTCTTCCAAGGCAACCCAGGTGGTCTTGAACTCCAGCCTTCTGGTCAACAGCCAAGCACTTCACCGTTTGCACCACTCCAGGGCCTCCATATGTCTGGTAAAGAGTTTAATGTCCAGAATATACAAAGATCTACAACAGAACAACAAAAGGACAACTAACACAATCAAAAAATAGGCAAAGGACTTCAATAGACATTCCACCAAAGAGGATATACAGATGGCCAACAAGCACGTCAACAGTAATCGTTAAAAAAAAAAAAAAAGAAAACCAGCTGCCGTTGAGTTGATTCCAGCTTATGGGGCCCCGTGTGTGTCTAAGTAGAACTGTGCTCCCAGGGCCCCCAGGGGCTGACTGTTCAGAATTGGATTGCCAGGCCTTCCTTCCAAGGCACCTCTATGTGGATTCGAACCACCAACCTTCCAGTTAGCAGCTGAACACATTGACCACTAATTTGCATCACTCAGGGATTCCACTGATAGCTTAAATCCCATGACCAATTTAGGGTCCCCTTGAGCAAGCGGTGGCATGTGACTAGCTTGTCCCCTCCTCTCAGATCAATGACCTGCGCTTCCAGAAGACACCCATCGAAAGCTTGTTCATCGAGGCGACTGAAAAGTTCCGCAGCAACCTCAAAACCATGTACTCTGTGCCGGTGAGCAGCCCCTCCACATAGCCCATTGCTCGGCCCCCTTCCCTTCCTGAATCGAGGCTGCGGGCTTCCCACACACACATTGGCTCACACGCCCACGGTGCCTCCTTCCAGAACGGGAAGATCCATGTGGGCTACAAGGACCTGATGGAGAACTACCAGATAGTAGTGACCAACCTGGCGGCCGAGCACGGCGAGGACACCAACCTGGTGCTCAACCTCTTCCAATCCCTGCTGGACGAATTCACCCGCCGCCACTCCAAGAGCGACTTTGAGGCCACCAAGGTGGGCCCTGGGGCAGACCCATCACCCCCTGCCAATGCCCTGGGTGGCTACTCTCCTTCATCAGGGCCTCTGGACAGGGGTATGGGATGGAGATCGGGGTGCCTGTGCTCCAGCCCACACCCTATGGGGAGGCGAGATCTCTGGATGTGGCTGGGGTTACTGAGGGGCTTGTCGGGACACTGCTGTCCCGGCTCCAGCGGACAAGCCTCTCTGCCCTCTCCCCACAGCAGAGCAAGTCCGAGAAGAAGAAGCGGAAGCAGGAACGTGCTGTGAGTGTGTGTCTGCCCTAAGGGGCTTAAGTCCTAAGTCCTCGATGATGCTTGGTCCTGAGGCCACAAGCTGGGGTACAGGGTGCTGGGAAGAAGGGGCCCCACTTAGCCACCATCCCCTGTCCACCCTCAGGTGCAGCAGCACAATGGGCACGTGTTCGCCAGCTACCAAGTGAGCATCCCCCAGTCGTGCGAGCACTGCCTCTCCTACATCTGGCTCATGGACAAGGCCCTGCTGTGCAGCGGTGAGCACCCCATCACCAGGCCCCCTGCATGGCCCCCAGCCCCACCATGGGGCCCCTGACCTCCTACCACATATCCCCAGAAACCTTACCCACCCCCATCACATGCACCCAAACCACCCACTGCACATCCCCCATCTTCACTCTATAACCCCAACTTCCCACTGCATGTCATCTCACCCTACTCATGTACCCCAGCCCCCCACCACACACATCCCACCCTACTGTATGTCCCCCAGCCCTTCCACCATACATACCCCAGACCCCCCCACTGCATACCTGACCCCCACTATGTACCCTCAGACTCCCCATCATGTCCCCAACCCCCATTGTGCACCTTAAACCCCTGCTGCATCCCCAGTCCCACCACACCTCTAAGCACCCACCATGTACCCATGACCCCCAACTATATAGCTCCCAATTCCCCACGCATGTCCCCTACCCCCACAGCATGCCTCCAAACCTCACCATGTGCCCCTCAACCCCCAACACATGCCCCCTGGCTCCCAACTGATTCCCTTGCCCCCACCACTTGCCCCCAGCCCACTGCTGACCCCCTTGTGCCCCCGGCACCCCCACCATCTGTGACCTTCTTTGTGGCCTCGTAGTGTGCAAGATGACCTGCCATAAGAAGTGTGTGAACAAGATCCAAACCTACTGCTCCTATACGAGTGGACGGAAGGTGAGGACATCACAGATGATGCCCGTTCCATCCAGGGCAGGTGCCTGGAGAAGGCTGTATGAAGGAGATGTGGAGGAGAGGCGTGCTCAGCAGGGACAAGTGGGGGTGGGAGCTGTAGAGGGCTAGAGCTGCTTCCATAGTTGCAGTTCCCACGTCTAGCTGCACCCCACCTTTGTCTGCCCCCCACATCCCTCTTTCCATCCAGATCAGGCCTGCCCATGTGTACATGTGAGACCCTGCCTCTGCTCCTTACTCCTCTAGGGGAACCTGGAGTGGGGAGAGCCCCCACTAAGCGCATGAGCTAGGTCACTGCTGTAGGGACCAGGAGATCCTTCCCCAGGATCCCCACTGAGGGGCAGAAGGATGGAGTTTACAGAGGTGGCTCCTTCATGCAGAAGGAGCTGTGGACGACATGCCCCATGCCCACCTGCACCCCACCCCCACACTGCAGGTGGAGCCAGGCACAGAGCCAGGCCACTTTGGTGTGTGCGTGGACAGTCTGACCAGTGACAAGGCCTCGGTGCCCGTTGTGCTGGAGAAGCTTCTGGAACATGTAGAGATGCATGGCCTGTACACCGAGGGCCTCTATCGAAAGTCAGGGGCCGCCAACCGCACGAGAGAACTCCGGCAAGCGCTGCAGACAGGTGGGGTCGCGGAGGAAGTGGGCTCGTGGGTGGGTGGGCACTGTGGACAGGACTGGTGGGTGTGGTGAGCAGCTGAACATCACAGGTGGGCGGGACTTGAGGACAGTAGGCACTGCACACCATGGATAGGTAGGTGTGTACAAGTAGTCACGTCTTGCTCTCCTGGCTCTGCCCCCCACCCTTGCCAGAACCCACAGCGGTCAAGCTAGAGAACTACCCCATCCACGCCATCACGGGGGTCCTAAAGCAGTGGCTGCGCGAGCTGCCGGAGCCTCTCATGACCTTTGCCCAGTACAACGACTTCCTCCACGCCGTAGGTGAGTCCCTGGGCCACCCCAAAACAGGGCTGAGAGCCTAGGCTGAGGACCCAGCTAGGGGCCTGGGGACCAGAGGTGTAGCAGACAGGGTGGAGCTGGGAAGAGGGTGGGACTGGGTAGGCGTAGGGAGGGCTTGGAGGGGCTGGAAAGAGGCGGGGCCTGGGGGGGGCCAGGGCATGCCATCTTAGCTGAGCAAAAGAGGTGGCAGTGGGGCGGGGCTCGTGGGGCGGGGCTCGTGGGGCGCCTTGTGAGGGCCCGCAGGGCGCTGAGCCTTACACCAACTTTCTGCAGAGCTGCCCGAGCGGCAGGAGCAGCTGGCTGCTATTTACGCTGTACTGGACCATCTGCCCGAGGCCAACCACAACTCCCTGGAGCGGCTTATCTTCCACCTTGTGAAGCAAGTGTCCCCCATGTCCCCACCCCGGGTGGTCTAGGGCTCTTTCCACCTTCCTGCCTACTCAGGACAGGGCCGTATGGGGGAGGGGACGCCAACAGCCTTTGAACATTCCCCACTGCTGAGCTGTGGGTAGTCCTTTTCTGAGGGTAACCCCAGAGGTCACGTCCTGGCACAGCTCCCTGGCTTTGGGGATGCTGCCCTTCATGCAGCCCGCCCCACAGGGTGGCTTTGCTGGAGGATGTGAATCGCATGTCACCTGGAGCCCTAGCCATCATCTTCGCACCCTGCCTGCTGCGCTGTCCTGACACCTCGGATCCGCTGACCAGTGTGAAGGATGTGCTAAAGATCACCACGTGAGTCCCTGCCCGCCTCACACTCAACCCAGAGGACAGTCCTCTGCTGGGTGTGTCCTCTGTACAGAGAAAAGTCCACAAGGAAAGACAGGCATGGAGAAGCCCAGGAGTGGTCGGTCCCCAAGCTGCGGGACTGTAGCTTTGGTGTTACACAGCATTTGCAAGGCCCAGGGGGAGGGTCTCCAGGCTGGCCCCTTACCCCTGCGGCCCTGGCTGTGTCTGAGGTCCCCTTCATGGCTTCGCACACAGGTGTGTGGAGATGCTGATTAAGGAGCAAATGCGCAAGTACAAAGTGAAGATGGATGAGATCAACCAGCTGGAGGCCGCAGAGAGCATTGCCTCCCGTCGCCTCTCACTGCTGCGGCAGAACACTGTGAGCTTGTGGGGGGCGGGGGTGGACAAGGGCTCCGGATGAGGGAGAATGGGGGCAGACCCGGGGCTGGGGTTCTAGGGTTGGAAGAGTGGGTGAGGTGTGGGGGGCCTACGGACAGTGGGCTAGAGGGAGTTGGTGCTGGATGGAGGGTAAGGGGGCCAGGCTGGATGGGGAAGGGCTGGGGGTATGGAGGCCAGGGGTCTGTCTGAGAGGCACTGGGGATTGAGTCAGGGCTGGGCAGCAGCCAGGGAACCAGGTCAGGAGTCTGGAGAGCCAGGGTTGAGCTAGGGGCAGGGGTAGGCTCAGCTCTGGGCTGCCTAGCTGGGAACCTCAACTCTTCTTCTGTCCATCAACCCCATCCAGCCCCACATGTCTCCCTCTGCCCCACAGGGGGGCAGTACCCCCAACCAGTGACTCAGTTTATCATCATCAGCCCAGTGCTGCTGGCCAGACCCTGCCCACAGGAGAACCTTTCCACAGCAGCAGGGTTGGTGGGGGGTGAGAACGCTCTGCCTGGCCAGGCAGCTGGCTCAGTCCCCTGCCTTCATCTCTCCCCCAGCCGTGGCCTCTCAAATTGGGGTTCTCATCTCCTTACGAGGGGGTCCTGGTATGTACGAGCCTGGGGACTGCGGTGCATGCCTCCCCCACGTGCGGTGCAAGCTGAGCTCCCTTGGGTCCTCGTAGGCTAAACTGCACCCTAACCTTCCAGAAGTGCATGCTGGGAGCGGCCCCTTGCCACCCCTGGAGAAGGGACATTCAGCCCCCCCATATCACAACTAACCTTACCAACTGCTCACACCCTCCTCCAGCCACCTCTGGCACTAACCCCACCTACCAAGCACTGGCCATTTGCCAATGGTTAAACTGTTGGCTGAAAGGCTGGCAGTTTGAAGCCACCCAATGGTGCTGTGGAAGAATGCCTAGCAATCTTCCAAAAAGTCACAGCCTTGAAAACCCTGTGGAGCGGTGCCACTGTGCACACTTGGGCTCACCACGAGTCGGAATAATCAACCTGACAGCAGCACCTCTTCTAGAACAAGAGCCCCAAAGCTCGGGCGAGCAGCAGTGGCCTGGAGGAGCTGGGGGTACTGCCTGAGGAGGAGGTGGTGGCGGCAGCTGGCGACGATGAGGACCGCGAGAAGGAGATCCTCATGGAGCGCATCCAGTCCATCAAGGAAGAGAAGCAAGTGTCCTGTGGTTGCCAGGGCAGCTGGTGGCAGGCTCCATCCCCGTGGGCTGGGGTTCCCCACTGCCCGGACTGCCTAACCCTGTGCCTGGCCACAAGGCCCCAGCGTGGCCCACGGGGAGAGCAGGAGCAGTGCTCAGCTTTTTCTTTTACGTCAGTCTCAGCTAGGGCAGAAGATTGTCACCCAAATCAAAGGGCAAGGGGACGCTGTTAAACGCAATACTGGGGAGTCCCTGAGTGGGACGAACAGTTACGCACTCAAGTGCCAACCAAAGGTTGGGGTTTGAACCCATCCAGAGGCACCTGGGAAGAATGGCCTGGCAATGTAATTCCATAAAGATCACAGCCAAGAATCCTCTAGGGGAGGGTGATATGAAATTACATTTCAAAGAGGGGGGCTACCAGGTCCTTGAGTTAACACCTTAGGTTTGCATACTTTACAAACAACTGATAGTAAGAAGTTACCTAAAGTGAATTCTGAAAGAACAGGGGAGGAAGAGGATCTCAAGAAAAATCATACCCTATCATAGCCAGGTAGCATAGTGGCTAAAGCACTTGACTGCTAACCAGAAGGCTGGCGGTTCAAACCCACCAGCCACTCCTCGGAAGGAAGGTTGGGCAATCCTACTTCCGTAGTGATACTGCCTCGGAAACCCAAGGAGGGGTCACTATGAGTCAGGGCCGACTCGATGGCACATAACAACAACAACATCATAGCCAGGATCAGGGAGAGAGACCAAGATTCAGACCCACTACAGTCAGAGCCCCTGGGTGGGGCAAAGCACTTGGCTGCTACTAACCAAAAGGTTGGCGATTTGAACCCACCCAGCAGGAACCACGGAAGAAATGCCTGGTGAACTGCTTTCAAAAGGCCACAGCCATAAAAACCCTATGGAGCAGTTCTCTGACACTTGGGGATGCCATTAGCTGAAGGGACTTGATGGCAACTGGTTTGGTTCTGGTTTTCCCCTGAAGTCTGCATAAACCAGTTTAAATGTTCAGGCACAGTACTCACTTCTGTGTGAGTTGATTTTGAAAAGAAAACACAAAAGTGATGCCACAACAAGCAGCAGAAACTGGGCTTGGGAAGGGAGTGGGGACAGTACACGCGAAGGGGTTGCGGGCTCAGGATTTGGGCGGGGCTGGAGCATGCCTTCGGGTGGGGGCGGGGTCTGGCACTTTCCTCTGGGCAGCCTTGAACTCTGGCCCTTTGCCCCGCCCTCAGAGAGGACATCACCTACCGGCTGCCGGAGCTGGACCCGCGCGGCTCAGACGAGGAGAACCTAGACTCAGAGACGTCGGCTAGCACAGAGAGCCTGCTGGAGGAGCGGGCTGGGCGGGGGGCTGCGGAAGGTCAGTATTAAGGTAGCGTGCGCTTTTTCCTTCCCGTCCGCCCAGGCGAGGTGGGGCTGCAGCACGGAGCTGCTCTGACCCCGCCGTCTGTCTCCCAAGGGCCCCCTGCGCCTGCTCTCCCCTGCCCCGGCTCACCCGCCCCGAGCCCCCTCCCCACGGTGGCCGCGGTGGTGGCCGCAGCGGCAGCCCCTCCACGACGCAGGCCGTCGTCCTTCGCGACGGTCCGAGTGAAGACCCCCCGGCGCACGCCCGTCATGCCCATGACCAATATCAAGCTGCCGCCCGGCCTGCCTGCCCACCTGACCGGCTGGGCGCCCGGGACCCGCGAGTCCGGGGTCCTTGTGCGGCGCCGTGAGCCACCCGCCCGCCGCCCCGACCTGGTGCACTCGGTGTATGTGGCACCCGGCGCCGAGCTGCCTGTGCAGGCTGTCCCGGAGGCCCAGGACCAGGAGGAACGGCCTACAGGTGCCAAGCGGAGGTACTCGGACCCCCCGACATACTGCCTGCCCACGGCCCAGGGCCAGTCCAACAGATGAGGGCTGCAGCTGGCCAAGCCCCGGCGTCCAAAGACAGCCTAGTGCGGATCTACTGGGCCTTCGGGACACGATAGAGCCAGTCCCTGGCGCATTGCTTCAGCGCCAGCAGCGGCTTTCTAGAAGGATCCAGGAGAGTTCCACCAGTGTACAGCAAAATGTGCACCGGCATAGCGCAGGGTAAACAGGGAGCAGTAGATCAGGCCGCCTGATCCACCTTCACCTCCCTCCCTATGGTTGCCCTTCCCAGCCCCCAAGGAAGGCCTCAAAAGGCTTCTCCTTTGTATGTTTTGACTTGACGGTAACTTCTTTTGTACGTGGTTTACATAACTTGAAACTGTAACAGCCTTAATGGGAGACCAAATCTTTTTTTTATAAATATATGTATATGTAAAAACTTGTACGTAACCCTGCACATCTTCCCTTAACCTGGACGTGAGTCATCAGTGTAGATGGTGCAGCCATGAAAGCCACGCTCCAGAACCGTAAGCCCGTGCTGGGGCCAGATTGGACCTTTGCAAGGACATGGACACTTAGGGCATCTGGCTGTGCTGAAGCCCTTTCAGATGTGCCCCACCCCATGGGCGCCGTGCGTCCACATGGAGAACATTGGAGCCATCCGTGGGGTCAGGGATGTCGACAGGATCCAGGAAGCCAGGCAGGGTTGGCCTCTCTACCTGTGTCACCATCAGACCTCACCTCCCCCGGAGTCAGGTCCCGGCGGGACAAATGTGGCCAAGACCCCTGTCTGCCATGCCTGGGACACACACCCCTCCTCCCTGTCCCTGTGGCGCAACAGGAGTGGCCTACCACTTCGCAGGACCTGTCCAAGTGGGGCCTCTGATTTCACGTTCCTCAGTCAACAGTGGCAACTTGGAGGACTCGGGGAGTGGGGCTCCCTTTTCTAGGCTCAAACCTCTCCCCCAGATACCTGGACACGTGAAATAAGTAAAATGTGCCTGAAACGTTTTCCTGTGACTCCAGTCTTTGAAGCTGGGCTGGAGGGAATGGGCCTGCAGGAAGGTGAGGTCAAAAAGGGACGCAGGGCTATGGGTTGTAGGAAGACCACCTTGGTCCTTCAGCAGATGCTTGTTCTGATGACCAGCGCCCTGCTCACACAGGAAGACCAAGACAACAGCTTGAGGGAATGGTTATCAATCCATTGGGGAGCAGGGAGCATCTGCAGAATTGTCTCCTGTCGCCCCAGTGGAGAAATCGAAGCATAGCACTTAGGCCTCTGCCTTGCTGGAGCTTTGCCCTAAATGTCATCTGTAGGATCTGCTGATACTGTGGAGGGGCAAGCTCCTGGTAGTGACAGAAGTAACCGCTGCAGAGGGGCTCAAAGGCTACAATCGGCTAGTGGGGCAAGATGGGGTGGACTCGGAAGCAGTGCGGACGGAAGTCTAGGTTGCAACGGGTTCAGAGAGAGAGGAAAACCCCACATCTAACTAACCCAGCTGTGTGCCCAACCTAGATCCTACCAGCGGCTCTGCAAGGTGGAGGTTCCCAATCCGTTCATTCCAGATGCACAAAACACACTTTAGGCGTCTGGGCCTCGGTCTAGGCCACAAAACCGGAAGGGGCGGGGAGAGCAGGCGCTGCCCTGTCTGGCTCTGGAGCTTGGCCATGAAGCCCCACTCTTCACTCACTCTGGGTTTGGTCTCCCTCTCGGTATTTTGCGAGAGCACTGGTTTCACCAGTGTTGTGAAGCCGAAGCTCCCTCCTCACCCTGTCCACTCCAGAAAGTGGTTCTAGGGGCTTACAGGGCAGAGTAGGTAGTCGGAGGGGCTCCTCTTACAGAAAATAAAACAGGGGAGGAGGAATCCTCAGATTTCAAACCCCCAAGCCAGGACCTACCTCTCCTCTACAAAATAAGGCAGGCTGCCTGGCGGCGGCGGAGTGCCTCAGCGTGAAAACCCAGGCAGAAGGAGGTAGGTGCCGGGGAAGCATTTTGAGCAAGGGAACGGGATGAGCAGAGACCACTTTGTACACGGGGCTGGCACCGAAGAACTGTTCCCTCCCAACTTTTCGGAAAAGGCTTAGACGTTCGCGATGCCAAGCAAGCAATTCTGCCCTGAGTAAATATGGATGGGATTGTGCCTCTCCTCTAAACAAAGACTGATAGAGTAAATGAAGGCACTTCCGCCCTTCCTTAAGATGGCCCCACCGGAAAAGGCGGGGCATCGCCCGGTGGTGATGGCGGCTTCAAGGCTCGAGCTGAATCTTGTGCGGCTGCTGTGCCGCTGCGAGGCAATGGCGGCTGAGAAGCGGGACCCAGACGAGTGGCGCCTGGAGAAGGTGAGTGGGGCCCGCCCTGCCACATAAGTTCCAATTCCCAGAGGCTGGTCTCCGAAGCTAACGGCCAGCCCGCCAGACTCCCCCACCCCAAGAGCCTCAGTGGCCCCGCCCCTTCCGGTCGATTCCCGCACGTCCATATGTAACACCGCCCCTATTTCTGAGGCTCCACCCCTCTTGGTGGCCACGCCTCCTTGGCATTTGTCTCCTTGGCATTTGCCTCCTTCCTGGTCCCACCCCTCATCTGGCTTTGACTCCTACAAGTGGGACCTGGCTGAAGGGGCAGCTGACATCCCATTTTATCTCCCCAGTATGTGGGGGCCCTGGAGGACATGCTGCAGGCTTTGAAGACTCAGGTGAGGTGAGTGCCCATGACCGACAAAGGTTTCAAACCCAGGGATTGGGAGGCCCAGGAGAACCGGTTGGGATCCTCCCCTGGGGTTTTCTTTTTCCTCTTGGCGCCTCCCAGTAAACCGGCCTCCGAGGTGATCAATGAATACTCTCGCAAGGTGGACTTTCTGAAGGGGATGCTGCAGGCAGAGAAGCTGGTGAGCTGGGGCTTCTGTGATCCCTATTAACATTTCCCTGGGTCTCCGAAACCCACCTTTTCTATGATCACTCTTCCTATGTCTCTGCAGACTTCATCCTCAGAGAAGGCATTAGCCAACCAGTTCCTAGCCCCTGGCCGTGTACCCACTACAGCCCGGGAGCGTGTGCCCGCCACAAAAACAGTGCATCTTCAGTCAAGGGCGAGGTACACTGGCGAGATGCGGAGTGAGCTGCTAGGCATGGTAAGGCTCATCCCAGGTTCCTGGGAGTACCTCAGGCTGAGGACTCAAGACTGACAAATACTGTCAAGTATGGAAACTCTAGGAGGCCCTCAATTTTTTCTGGGGCCAGCAGCAAGGTGTTGGGGACAGTGTTTTGCTGGATGAATAGTTCTCTGTAAAAGATGAAAATGGCCCACACCCAGTTAAGCCCCAAAGTTGGCCAGACCATACTTCAAGATGGGTAGGTTCATTTGTACTACAAAATCCAACAGGTGCCTTTCTGAGCATTTTACATGAGTCAACTCAACCCTACAAAGGAGGAACTCTAGTTGTTGCCAGCTTATACATGAGGAACTTAGGACTCAGGTCACAGGGCTTCTCCAGCACCCCAACTGAAGTTGAGGAGGTTCTGAGAGCAGAAGGGGCAAGTTTGGGGGCAGGACAGAGTAGCTGACTTTATGCCTCTTCCTTTTCCCTGCAGGACACTGCCAAGGGTGAGTTGCCCTGAACAGAACAGGATTCAAGGCCCAGCTGCTTGGGACAAGACCCTACTGCCCCATATCCCAGGGGCCCAGCCTGTTTCCCACAGGGATTTCCCCAGCCAAGGGAGGGTATCCCTAGGGGCATCATTGAGGCAGGCCTGGAGTGAGGGTCCAAGGCAGAGGAGGTGGCCTATGCAGAAGACAGGGCTGGGCTAAAGGGAGGGTCCTGGGAAGCCCAGATGGAAGAGGGAAATGCTTTCAAGGAGAGGGGGCATTCAAGCTGGGGATTTGAAGCATTGTTAGGAGCTCAGTAGGTACTAAAGAAGATGGGGAACAGCATCCCAAGTAGGGAGCACAGCACAGGCAAAGGCCAGGGTGCATCAAAACTAGAAACCAATCATCCTCCTTCTTCTTACATGGCCTGTTCCACTTGCAGAGCCTGGGCTGGACGTAAGGAAGCGAACGTAAGTGTCCCTGGACTCCCAGCAATGTAGGTGTGGGTGGAGGAGGCCGGGTGAACCAGGGACCACTGGGGCTCCTCGGGTCTAAACCACTCATCAGAAGCCATTTTCTGGAGATCCTTTTCCGAGAAACTGAAGCTAAGAAATCCCAAGGGTGGAGTGGTGGCTGGAGCCACAGCCTCTGGGTTCCACTCAAACATGGCACTTTCTTTCCCTCTCCCACCCCGCTTCTCATGCCCACCTGTCCACCCATGTGTGGGGTCAGTGGGGTGGCAGGGCAGGTGGACGAGAAGCAGTCTGCAGCTGAGCTAGACCTTGTACTCCAGCGACACCAGAATCTCCAGGAGAAGCTGGCAGAGGAGATGCTGGGCCTAGCCCGGAGCCTCAAGACCAACACTCTGGCCGCACAGAGCGTGATCAAGAAGGACAACCAGGTACGGGGACCCTGGGACCAGCCAGCCAGCCCCTGTCCTGGGGTCTCACAGAAAGCTTCCCGGCAGAGCGGCATTGTGGCCAGGGCTTTGGCAGATGAATAGAAGTTAGGCAGAAAACAGAAATGGTGTTCTCAGCGCAGGGCACAGCACTAACAAGGGCCAGGAGGTGCATGCCTGGCTCAGGGTAGTGAAGAGGGTCTAGGTGTGGTTCTAATCCGGTTGATGTCCTCTCCACTCTACCCCCAGACCCTGTCCCACTCGCTCAAAATGGCCGATCAGAACCTAGAGAAGCTGAAGACAGAGTCCGAGCGGCTGGAGCAGCACACGCAGAAGTCAGTCAACTGGCTGCTCTGGGCCATGCTCATCATCGTCTGTTTCATCTTCATCAGCATGATCCTCTTCATCCGCATCATGCCTAAACTCAAATAAAGGCCTGGCCCAGCCCACCTTGTCTGCCCTCTGTCTGACTTCTGCACCAGAGTCCCCTGTGGGATGGACAATGAGATGGGACCATCTTGGGAGGTCCCTGGGAGCCACAGAGTGTATGTGAGCAGGGGAGGGAAGTCAGGCCTCACTAAGCACCTTTCTTGATGCATTTGGACAAAACCAGGTCCTGTAAGAGCCCAGGGAGCCCTCAGTCTTGGAGAGTCACAGCTGAACATGATACTTTTAACCTTGTGGTGCAGGAGGAAGGGATGGGTGCCTGGGGAGGGATGAGCAGAGCTGTGCCTGGAGGCCTGCCTAGAGGAGGGGGCATTGGTATTGGGCCCTCCTTAGGCTTAAAAGTGTAGTTCAGGCTAAGAGCTCAGGCCAGCACTAGCCACAACCAGGGCACTGGGTCCTTCACACAATCAACAAACACTCCTGGGTCATACCCAGTGCTGGGTACAGGCTCGGCAGAGACCCTCCCCCTCCCGGGTTACTGTCTGACCATTCCAGAGGAGAGATGGGTAGGTACTGGAGATGGACCAAGAAAAGGAGCTGGGGAGTGGGTCCCTGAAGGAAGGCAGTGGTGTAGGGGGGTCAGGTTCTCCTCACTTCCAGTTCAGATGAGGAGGGCGGTACTAGTTTTCTAGTGTTGCTATAATAGACATACACGAATGGCTTTAACAAACAGGAATTGACTCTCTTACAGTTCAGGAGACTAGAGTCTGAGGTCAAAGTGCCAGCTCTAGAGCCTGAGTGAAAGGCTCTTGACCTTGGGCTTCAGCTCTGCTGTTTGCTCCTGGCCCACTGGAGCTGGCGGCTTCTCACCTCAGCCGCTGGCTGTGAGGCTGACAGACACAAAGTTGACAAGTAAAATGACATAGTCCCAAGATTATCAAGCAACACAGCAGGCCACTAGTTAAAGTCCCAAGATGGGCAGACAACACGGCCGACCACTGATGAACTGGCCGAATGCAGGATCCAAACGTGCCAAGAAGCTCAAGACCTCCTTCGTGACAGCTACTCAGCTGCTCACAGTGGAGTCCACTATGGAGTTGGTTACCAGTCTCATCATGGGGAATAACTGCATTCAGCTGTCCAGCCACTCAAAACTAGGCCCAGCCAATTTGACACATCCCTTTAACTACCACAATTTCAACCCCAGCAGTGCAGAGATGAGCTGAATCTAGACACGTTCCTCCTGCACCTTCTGAGGCACAAAATGCCAATGAGGTCTGTTCTGTCAACACACGCAGCCTTAACTATCATGGGGCACAGCCTGCGGTGGGTGACAGAGGAAGCCTGGTGAGTGAGGATGGGCATGCATCATATGCATGGAGGTGTCTGACCCAGAACTGTGTGAGTGCAGACAGGTCCTGTGGAGCCAGACTGTTGCTGGAGTTGCTGCCATCAACACAAGTGCAAAAGCCCCAGTTAAAGCTTTCTGAGAGTGCCAGCAGCAGCTTTTAAAAAAATCAATCATAAGAGAGGAGGCTGGCGCCTGTGGTACTAGGTATTTCAACACTAGGAAGCCTGTTAATAGAATTTAGCACATTAATGCATCCAGGGGGAAAATTGTAAGTACTGCAATGGTACTTGATACTGTTGAGCATCATCACTCAATGTCTCCTAATAAAAAAGGAATATATCATAGTTGTTAGCTGCTGTCCAACTAGCCCCAACTCACAGCGACCCCACGCATGATGGAATCAAACACTGCCCCATCCATCACCAGGATGGCTTGCAGTTGGGATCTACAGGATTTTCATGGGCTGATCTTTCAAAGCCGATTGCCAGGCCTTTCTTTTTAATCCATCTTAGTCTGGAAGCTCCAATGAAATCTATTCAGTATCCTAGCAACACACAAGCCTCCACTGACAGGCCGGTAATAGATCACACGAGGTGCATTGGCCAGGAATTAGATCTAGGTTTCCTGCACAGAAGGTGAAAATTCTACCACTACCGGTCTCGTTTTGAAAATTAAATGGATGGATATCTTCCTATCTTAACTGAAAAATCTGAAGCCAAAGGCAGCCTTGACTAACAGGCCAAAACTGAAGTTCTGCCCATAAGGTCCGTGTTGTCGTTGACCCATGCCCCCCACCACCATGGTTTAAGATTGTTCTGGAGGTATCTATCAGTCAATGCTATTACACAAGAAAATAAATGAGCTTTAAAAATGAGAAAAGAACCAGTTTCTAAACATCTGTTTCAATAAGAGAACTCGGAAACCTAGCAAGGAGCATAATGGACATTTAAAAAATAATTGTGTAGTATAAACCAAACTCACTGCAGTCAATTGGACTCAGCCACCCTTCCTAGGGTTTCCGAGGCGGTTTCTCTACGGAAGTAGATTGCCCCATCTTCCTTCGGAGGAGTGGCTGGGGGTTTGAACCTCTGCTTAGCCTTAGGCACTACGCCACCAGAGCTCATTTTATAGTATAGAAAAAATAAACCCTGCAAAATATATTGGTAGATTTCATTTATAACAGCAACACAAAAGTTGTTCTTGTCAAACAAACTTCTTTCTATAAGAACTCCTAATAATTAATAAAGGGGGAAAAAAAGGCAGGATATGAACAGGAAAAATAATACAAATCGTTTTTTAAGCTTTGTCACTCATTAGATTAGTAAGGATTTAGAACCTGAAAACACACTTGAGGGGAATCTGTGGAAACAACGGCGCTGCCAAGACTGTGGGAAATACAGCGCTTCTATTGTTACTACAAACAACAACAACCTCGTTGAGGAACAATCTGGTGCACTCTTTTCAAATTAAAAATGCACAGGTTCCTTCGCCCCTGGATTCCACTTCCAGGAATTTATCCAACAGATTAGCCTCCTTCGTGTGCCCAAAGAAATTTGCACATGAATATTTTCTGCACCATCCTTTGCAGTGAGAAAAAAATACATAACTATATTGCCACTGAATTAGGATCTCTCCGGAAAGAGACAGTTAATTGCTGTCAGCGGCTGACTCTGGGGAAAAGGCTGGGTGTCTGAATTTTTCTGCCTCCATTATTTTAAAAAGTACTTTTAAAGTATAATTGTTGAATAAATAAATGAATGGAAATTCTCCGAAAACACCCTGTTTTCCGATAAATAAACTGAGGGTCAGAGAAGGTAAGTCACCAACTCCGGCATTTATTGGATCTGGATAGAGGTTGGACTCGAACCACAAGCTCAATTGTATGGGCTGGAGGACCGGCCCCTCCAAGCCTCGTCCAGTCATACCAGGCCACGCCCATGCTCAACAAGGCCACGCCCATTACAGGCCACGCCCCACCCCCTCCTGAGGAGCGACCCCGACAGCCGAGTTCAATCTCCAGTTAATGCACAACAGGAACGGCAGGGGTTCTTCCCAGAAGCCTACCCAGGCTCGGAGTCCCGGACGCTGGGACAGGTAACGGGCAGGAGCGGCCTGTGCGGCCTCCAACCACGGCGGAGGTCCCGTGGGGCTTCCCGTGGGCGGCGACCGGGGGACTCCGCGCGTAATAGCGGGAGAGGCTCCAGCAGTACGGGGGTTAACCCGAGCCAGAGCCAGGCTGCGCGGTGACATCAGAAATATTTGCATAGAACTGTTCCGGAATACGCAGTCAGGGGTGGGGTCTAGGTTGCGTTCAGGGCCAATCGTGTGCGTCTATACGCATGGAGGCGGGGCTGGGAAAGCTTTTGGGGAACTGAGTTGGGGACTATTGCGCCGAGCTCGGCGCATTTCGCTACCTGCCTTGCGGCCTTGCCTTCCTTCAGACACGCCCTCACGCCCTGTTCGCAGGCCGCCCTCCGACCACTCCCGCCACGTGCGGGCCAAGACACCACCCGCAGAAACCACCCGCTCGCCCGGGGACCCCTGAACAGCGCCACCCAGAGGCCTATGCCTACCTGGAAGACTCCCGAGACCCGTGGCTCCCGGGGAAACCCCCAGCGTCGTCCACCTGGCCCTGGGCCTCCTGTGAGTCTGAATGGGGAGGGAGTCCCCTGGCCCGCTCTTAGGCAAAGAATTCAGTCCCCCCAGGTTGAGAGATTTCGACTTCCCTACCGTCCCCTCTGGTAGCATAGTGGCTAAGGCACTTGACTGCTAACCAGAAGGCTGGCGGTTCAAACCCACCAGCCACTCCTCGGAAGGAAGGTTGGGCAATCCTACTTCCGTAGTGATACTGCCTCGGAAACCCAAGGAGGGGTCGCTATGAGTCGGGGTCGACTTGACGGCACATAACAACAACAACAGCAATCCCTTCCAGGTGCTCTGGTAGCATAGTGCCTAAGGCACACTTGACTGCTAACCAGAAGGCAGGCCGTTCAAACCCACCAGCCACTCCTTGGAAGGAAGATGGAGCAATCTACTTCCGTACTGATACTGTCTCGGAAACCCAAAGAGGGGTCGCTATGAGTCGGGTCCGGGACCGCACATAACAACAGTCCCTTCCACCCTCCTTCCTCACTTAACCCCAAATGATGATTCCTGCAGCGTCTACAGCGACAGGACCTCCGAGATCTGGAAGCCAGTTCGCCATACAATCTGTGCCAACTTCAGTCTCGAGCCCACAGGATGAGACCTAAGAAAATTGTGTTTGAGGATGAGCTGCCCCCCAACGCCCTCCTGAGAACCAGGAAGCCTATTGGCGCCACCTCTAGGGTATACACGCCTAGGCCCCATCCAGTGCCTGACTATGAGCTGTGAGTGTCCCCCGTGTGGTTCGTTACGCCTGGGAACTTGGAAGGGGCACTGGAGCTGGGTGTATAGAAATTTGTAACAGTCAAAAGGGAAAGAGCATTTTAGGCAGGAAGTTTAGCACCGCTGACAAAGACATGACTAGATGGAGAAGGAGAAACCTGCGTGGATTAGGGCAAGGGGAGAGGAGTGTTGGCACTGACACTCTGACCCTCCTCACCCTGGCAGTAAGTACCCACCAGTGAGCAGTGAGAGGGAGCGAAGCCGCTACGTGGCTGTGTTCCAGGACCAGTACTCTGAGTTCTTGGAGCTACGCCAGAAGGTGGCCTCTGCACAGGCAAAACTACAGCAGCTGAAGACCTTGCTGAGTTCACTGCCCCCGCCCCACAGCCAGGTCAGTGCAGAATGGAAACCCCTGTCCCCCAGCCATGCCAGGCCAGATGTTAGGGCCCTTTCCTTCTCCAGGCTGGGTGAGCACCATAACACGTGGGGCCAACCAAGATTAGCCCTTGAGGTTCTCCTTAGGCCAGTAACTTTATCTCTCTAGACTGTTTCCCCATCCTTCCCTGGGTCCAACATCTCCTGAGTCCCCTCGTCCTCCCTTCATAGAAGGAGGCCCGTGTCACTGCCCACGTCTGGAGGGAATTTGAGAAGAAGCAGATGGTGAGTAGTGACTTCTGGGTCCCCTGTCTTGGCCTTTGTGCCCCAAAAGCTTGTGCCCATTTTCAAGGAAAGAAAACTGAGGCTGAGAGAAGAAAAGGCTGTAACAGCATGAGAGCTATAGGCTAGACAGCCATAAGGACTTCCCTGGTTCTTGCTTCACACAGGACCCCAGCTTTCTGGAAAAGCAGGCTCGCTATCACTACCTGAAGGGCAAACTGAGGCACCTCAAGACCCAGATCCAGAAATTCGATGACCAAGAGGACAGCAAGGGTTCTGTGTACTTCTGAGCATCCCAGCAGACAGGCAGAAGGATGCACTGGGGTGGGGTCCCACCTTGTCCTTGTTTTCCCTCCACCCCTTCTACTTAACACATTAACAACGACGACTTCTACTTTCCTACCTCTGGGCTTTGTTCTTGCTATTCCCTCTATCTGGGATAGCTTCCCCTGCCTGCAATGTCTTATCCTTTGTGGCTCAGCTCTGATGACCTCTTCTCCAGGAAGCTTTCCCAGGACCTCCTCTGGTACCCCCAGCCCTGAACTCATGGGGAACCCAGAAGTCAGCCCCATCTCCCAGAAGTGGTCCTGCTCTCCATCCTAATGGAATAAACACCTATTGAGCACCTACTGTGTACAGATGCTTAACACTCCTAATTCCACTTGTTCATCCAAAAATTATTCTCCCCCTCACTCTCATGGCTTCCAGCCAAATAATAGGCATATAGTGTGAACATTTCCATCAGGTAGATACACTCCTTAGAACGATCAGTCATGTGAGAAGAGAAGGGCAGTGTTTGCACAGGGAGCGAGATTGCATAGGAAAGAAGGACACAGGGAAGAGTTAACTACAGGGAGGAAGTAAGAAGAGAGCTGTTCAGTTGTAGGGAATTGGCAGTCAATGTCATAACAAAATGTGTATGAACTGCTGTATGGAAAATGAATTTGCTCTGTAAACTTTCACCCAAATCACAATAAAAAAAAAAATTAAAAATTATTCTCATTTTCAATACAAAAAAAAAAACTTAAGTCCCAAAAAAGGAAATTCCCCAGGGTCACCTGGGCAGAATTCAAACCCTCATATCTAGGAGGTTCCTCCCTCAAGACATTCTGGTGGCCCCTGGTTGGAAATTTCGGCATTGATGTTTGGCTTCACAGCACCAATGACCAGGAATTTCTGCAGCTTCAGTAATGGAGCCAAGAGTGGCAGAGGTCCCTGGAGTCTTCAGAAGTCGTGTGGGTGCGATGCTGTGGACTGCCCGAAGGGGGCATACTCAGCCAAGGGACACACAGGAGGCCCTGACCACACCCCAAAGGGCTCCCACCATTCTCCTTACCCCTGGGTCTCTAAGCTGTACAGTGATTGACACCAAGTGCTCAGTGGACTCCAGTCAACATGCCTGACTCAGGGGAGGGTCTCAGGCTCTGGGTAGGCTCTGGTTCACGGGCAGGCTGCCTGCCAGGCTCCCTGCCAGGCTGTGTGACCTTGGACTGGCAGCTGCCCTCTCAAGTCCTGGTCTCCCAGGGAAGTCACAGGACTGGAGCAATCAGGAAGGCAAACTGGCAAGCAGAGAAGCTGTGCTAGCCACTGAGTACTGCCGTGGCCACAGGGAGGCCTCAGCCCCAGGCTTGGCCCTTGAGGACCCTAGTCTGAAGGAGAGTCCTGGACCCAGTGTGATAGAGCAACAATGGAGAGGTAGACAGCAGAGTCTTGACAACCGGGGAGGCTGAAGATGCCTTCCTACACGAGGGTCCAGATGGGTGGGACTTGTAGTTGGATACAACAGGTATGGGCGGACATCCAGATCTCTGGCCTGGGAACCAGGTGGCAGGACAGACCCCCGTGGTATCAGTCTTCAATGTTTGTATCTGAGAAATGGGTTATTGCCATCCAGCCCCACTGGAGTGGACCCACTTACCCTCCAGGTGACTCTGGAGACCCTGATCCAGCACAGAGTCTGGACGGCCTTCCCATTTCACCCTATGCTTGGTCCCTTCAGGGGATGGGTCATGCCAAGATTCCCATTCATTCCATGAAAAGTAGCACTGTCCTCATCTTCCAAGACCTCCATGATGGACATACGGGAGGTTGGGGTGCGAACAGAGTATTTTTGGAGGACTGGTGCTGCCAGGGTGAAAGACCCAAGTTCTGCACTTGATGTCCTCAGAACATCTTTGATGAAGGGCTTGTTTCTTTGATGCCAGGGCCTTAGTGAAGGCCTGAGAAGCGTTCTGCCCTGTGCAAGCACCCCGCCCCCATCCAAGCACCATCTACCCACCCCCTGGAGCCACAGCCCTGATGATAACAAACCCACAGGTGCCTTTCCTACCACAGAGCAGGGCTCAAACTTGCAGGGATGGCATGCCCTGTACCACCCCATGTCCCATCTCAAACCAGCAAAGTCCACATTAACATTTTAAAGTCTGTCTTTATCATCCGAAGGAGCTCTGGTGGCATAATGCCTAAGACATTTGACTGCTAACCAGAAGGCAGTTCAAATGCACCAACCACTGCTCCGAAGGAAGACTGGGCAATATACCTCTGTAGAGATACCTACCACCCAAGGAGGGGTCGCTACGAGTCAGAATCAACTCGATGGCACTGAGTTTGGTTTTGGGTTTGTTCATCATCCAAACACTGATCTCAGAGTTGCTCAGGTACAAAAAGAGTTTAGTTTCATGGAACTTAAATGTCCAAAGACTTCAGTTACGACTTGATCAAGGGGCTCCAAAGACATTCTAGGCAATTGGTTTTCCTCTGTAGGTTCTGACTTGCTCTGAGTCTATCCTCTCGGTTACAAATCCTGCCATCAAGTCTCACTGGGCTGCTTTGGGTCACAGGACTTCCCTGAACTTAATCACTGTGGCCAAGGGAATAAAGGGTGATTGCCTGGACTGAGGTCAGATGACAGGCTCAGGGCCTCCAAAACCCCATGGATCGAGAATCTGGGAGACAGTTTTCCTGAGGACCCTGGAGCCCAGATACCAAGATAAGACCTAAACTTCAGTTAATTTATTTAAAAAAATGTTTGGCCCAGGGATTGAATTTAACAACGACCAGACTTACCCCCCTCAGCCAGTGCAAAGCATGGATCTGAACCCAAGCCACCTGCTGGGTTCAATACCTATGGATCCACTGGCTGACCTCAGGTCCTCTGCCTCCTGCCCCTAGCCTGTTTGCTCACTTACTCAAAAAGAACAGCACCCACCAGTCACACACAATAGGACTACAGTAGTTGTTGTTGTTGTTGTTGTTATGTGCCGTCAAGTCAGACCTGACTCACAGCGACCCCTCCTTGGGTTTCCGAGGCAGTATCACTACATAAGTAGATTGCCCAACCTTCCTTCCGAGGAGTGGCAGGTGGGTTTGAACTGCCTAGGTGGTTGAAATAGTGGGCATGCCCCATGACTGGGGTGGGCACAGGGGCTGCCCTCCCTGTCACCCCCTCATAAAAAGACAGCCAGGGCAACAACGCAGTTAGGAAGTGTCTTTATTACTTGAGTCCTCTTGATTCATTCCTCATGTAGTGTCAGACGTAGATCACACGTCCAAAGTCCACCTGACCCTCGGTCACCTCTGACCAGCCAGGGCTGCCCCCACCGTACAGCCACCAGGCCTCTAGCCCACTCCACAGTCCTACAAATTCATTCCCCCCCATCTTTGCGAGGGGACCAGAAGATGTGGCTAGAGTTGAGACAATCTATTTCTTTTTGGTTTCATGATCATTTAAAAAACAGAAAAGACAAACATTTCACAGTCTTAAAAAAAGAGGAGTCTGAGAAAGATCCAAAGTCCTCCCCTGGGGGCCTCCAGGAGCTCCATGCATCTGCGTCCCTGGAGGTCACTGGCCAGAGCCATAAGGCCAGTTGAAAGTACTCCCCGAGAGCAGCATGTCACGGATCAGTGTCTCGATGGGCGTCTTGCCCACCAGGCGCATGAAGAACAGCTGAGAGATGAGGGAGGCAGGGACAGCACGCAGGGCTGGCAGCCGAAGCAGCAGGCGCCCAAAGCGCTGGGGCTGGGCTGGGTATTGAGCCCGCACATACTCGGTCAGGGCCACCTGCGCCTTCTCCTGCAGGCTCTCCACGAACGCTGGGTCCGAAAGGCCGCAGGCGTCTAGGATGGGAGGGTGAGGTTAGGTGGGGTGGGGGTGATGGGAGGACCCAGGGCTCACACCCAAGGGGGGCTGAGGGGCACTGCATGGGGCACTTGGGTGTTAGATGATGGGTTCTTGGAGCACAAATGGGGGTCTCTAAGGCAGTGTCGATTCTTACGAGACTGTGAGGAAGGAGTGCAGGCAGTGATGTCTTGAGGGTGGACAGGGTGCCCCCAGAAAAAAGCCCTTTGCAGGGAGACAAGTTCCAAGGAAGCTCGAAGGGAAGATGGGGCTGAGGTGGTTTTGGGAAACAGAGCCCTGACCGCTTGTAGAATATCTGTTATCATACTGGTGAAAGCATGTTTATCACATCAAAGAATGGCTGGTCTGTGGGCCTTCCGCCCCAAGGAGACACTTGCTGGGGTCTGGGACCTTCAAGAGAGCGAAATTATGCTCGGGAGCAGGCCGGAGAGATTTGCCTCTGGAGCACGCAGTCTGTGGCGCAGCCATTCTGAGAAATACGGTAAGGCAGCGGCAAGGCTGCAGCAGCCCCGTGGTTACTAGGAAACGGATAGGGAGGGCTCAAGACCCTCCACACCCAGAGCATCTAGCCACACCCCAGGTAGGAGGGGCCTCGGAACTAAGCCCCACCTGAACGCAGCCTTAGGCGGGTAGGTTGGAGGCGGGGGTAATAGGAATAGGTCGTGGGCCCAAAAATCAGGGTGCCTAAGAAGGCTGTTAACCAGAAGGCTGGCGGTTCAAACCCACCCAGCCACGCCTCAAGAAGGAAGACTGGGCAATCTACTTCCCTAGAGATATCGCCTGGAAAACCCAAGGAGGGGTCGCTATGAGTCCAATCGAGTCGACAGAATTGAGTTTGGCGTGTTTTTTTGTTTTTTTTTAAGAGGAGCCCAGAACAGGAGTCAGGGCACCCCCTGCCTGGCAGTCTTCTATAGGAGTTCACAGAATGAAGAGGGCTTTGATCCAGGGTCAAATGGATTAGGAAAATCTGATAGGGGGCAGAAGGGGCCACAGTCAGGAGTCAGGGTCCACCCCTCCTACATCTCTCCAAAAAAAGTACCTTGATCTGAGGAAAGGGATAGGCAAAGGTCTTAGGGAGCTGAAGGTCAGGGAGAGCTAGTGAGGTTTAGATGGCTCCCTCCCGTCTGGGGCCCCAGGGCGCGCTGGGCTCAG